ATTGTTTGTCAATTTCATTGTTATATGGAAGATTTCTTACTTAAATAAAATACACTAAAGCAATGTTTTAAAAAGGACAGTCTTTATGAATGCCATAAATCAGTTTCTTTTCCTGTATGTTTTTCAAAAATAGGTTGTCCTGGTTATCACTAGCACTTCTTAAGAAGTGAGGGGATACACATACCAAAAATATAATTTATCTAAAATGAAATTCACAGTATGACTCAGGTTTGGTTTTTTGTTGTTTTGTTTTGTTTTGTTTTTCCCCCAGTAATGAAATGGCAATTTAGATGGATTTTGTTGTATTATAATGAATAACCTGGAGTTAATCAGATGAGGCCATACTGAAAATTTTGCCCCCACCATCTCTGTGCATCACAGATTGATGATTTGGTCTAATATGCTCCTCTTTTCATCTCTTTACTGACGACAGAATTCATATTCCTGTGAAAAAGACTAATATGCCTGAAGTGTTAATAGTCAAATATCATGGTTATAAATAAGAGACATAATTTCATTTAAAAGAAAAATCAAAGGTCTTCTCTTGTGGAAAATAGCACAAATTCCATACATCAAAGCTACTGCAAACAATAGGCTTGATGACTCCAAGAATATCATCCCCATGGAGAGCTGCACAGACAGAAACATCATGGAGAATCCTGCTGCTCTGTTCCTGGTTTGGGATGGTCACTGGAGAAAGAAGGGCCAGCTGTGAAAGGAATGCTTTTCATTAATTTTTAGTCAAGTATGGGAGCAAAATACTTGATTTTTCTTAGAAAGTTAAAAGAAAAAAAATATCTTTACGTGATTTGTAGGTTAGTGAAGTGACAGTTTAAATTTCAGTTCATTTCCAGAGAAGGCATGTTGGGTGATCTCCTACTAATTTATATAAATAACAGTAAAAAATAAATTCCTGGATACTATTGAAAGGATGGCAAAGATCCTAAAGATTTCACTTGAAATGTCATAATGCTTGAGAACACTGAGAAAGGACACAGTATTGTAAACAAGACATTGCACGGTGTTCAACGAAGGTGTCCATACTGCGTATCCTAGAGAGCTCCTGCCTGCTCTTACAGCCTAATCTTGTTTTCATTTTAAAATTCCCATTAAATTGAGCATTTCATAATATTGGCCTGTTAATCTGCTGCCTTCACAGACAATACAAATAATTCATCCTTAAAAATTAAAGAGGAGTCAAGCATGCTTAATGGAGGTTCTTATAAACGTTTTTGAGTCTATTATTAGGCTTCAGTTTCTCTAGAAACAGAGATAATACACACAAATATATGCAGGAATTTTTTTCAGTCTGTAAATATTCATCCTGCAGTTTAAGAAACCCTCCTTGAAATCCACAGGCAACCCAAGAATATCACCATTTTATAATAGATTAGGAACATTTCAGTCTGAATAAAACCAAACTCATTGGTTTTATTGGTTTATTGGTTTCCCTTGTACATACACTGGTATGTCACGCCAGGGAACTTCAGGTCTGACAAGCAGATACCATCCAGAGGGACCTGAACAAACTCAAGAAGGGGGCCCATTTGAACCTCATGAGGTTCAACAAGGCCAAGTGCAAGGTCCTGCACCTGGGTCAGGGCAATCTCGGGTATCAGTATAGGCTGGGAAATGAAGGCATTGAGAGCAGCCCTGTGGAGAAGGACTTGGGAGTGGTGGTGGATGAGAAGTTCAACATGAGCCAGCAAGGCATGGTTGCAGCCCAGAAGGCCAACCATATACTGGGCTGCATCAAAAGAAGCTTGGCCAGCAGGTCAAGGGAAGTGATTCTCCCCCTCTACTCCACCCTGGTGAGACCCCACCTGCAGTACTCAGTCCAGTTCTGGGGTCCTCAGCACAAGACATGGACCTGTTGGAGCAGGTCCAGAGGAAGCCACAAAAATGTTCAGAGGAATTAAACACCTCTGCTATGAAGAAAGGCTGAGAGAGCTGGGGCTGTTCAGCCTGGAGAAGAGAAGGCTCCAAGGAGACCTTATTGCACCTTTCGATACTTGAACGGGCAATAAGAAAGATGGGGACAGACTTTTTAGCCGGGCCTGTAGCAATAGGACAAGGGGAAATGGATTTAAAATAGAAGAGGGGAGATTCAGACCAGATAGAAGGAAGAAATTTTTTACACTGAGGGTGGTGAAACCCTGGCCCAGGTTACCCAGAGAGGTGGTAGAAGCCCCATCCCTGGAAACATTCAAGGTCAGGTTGGATGGGGCTCTGAGCAACCTGACCTGGTTGAAGATGTCCCTTCTCACTGCAAGAGGTTTGGACTAGATGGCCTTTAAAGGTCTCTTCCAACCCAAACCCTCCTCTGATTCTATGGTGATTCTGTGAAATTTTCTACATTTTATTAACTCCTTGCAATACCTGTAGATTGTCCCTTACAATTGTTAGGTGCAGTATAAACATTGAATTAAATGATATTTTATGAACTGAGTAAGTAAAAGCAGTTTGCTTTTATTTTCAGCTCAGACCATGGATGGGTACTTCTGGGTGGCTTTTGAACACCTGGGAATGGTGTGACTGTTCACAGAGCAAAATATACTGAGGTGCAAAAGAGTTTGCAGGATTATACCATGAGATTGATTTCCAAACCTTTCTTGAGGATTCTGAACTTATTAAAGAAAGACAGGCAGTTCCCAACTATATAATTTACTCCCGGTAGAGATCTGTCAAAGCCTTTTTCCAGTCGGACTATGATGAAAGATGAAACACTCTGTATAGAAATGCAACTAAAACAATCAGCCAATGAAACAAAAATCCTCTGAGCTACTCCTTCCTCAAGCTTTCCTTATACATCCTGTCTCTTCTCTGTTTTGGATAATTGGATTGAAAGCTCTTCAAAATGAGGAACTGTCTACATTGTGTCTCTTGTGTAAGACTAAGATCACTGTTGGTACTTTAGAAAATACATTAATAGTTAACATTTGTCTTTCCTGCCTCTGATGGAGACATAGAATTTTGGCCCTGGATTATTGTGAGAACTTTCCTAAGGATGAACAAAGAAGTATTAATGTGAATTGACAACATGTAATATCTTTCCTGAGGGATTTTAGGTTGTTATAAGCTATGGAGGAACATTGAAAATCTCATATATTTTGCCAGTAATGCAAAACTACACATGAAAGTTAGACACGGCCAGGATGAGATTCTCAGGTACATGCCCTCATGATATTTTGGGGAGTGATTAAAAATATATATGTAAGAGGGATACAGGTATAGAGCACATGAGTGATCTCTCTGACAATTCTCTAGCAACCGTGGCACAAGTGAGATCATGATCCAGTTGTCAGGCAGGTGGTGAGGAGGGATGGTTTGGGACTGGAGAGGTGGCGTGGGGATTGGGGATGTGGTCTGGGCTTCATAACCAGTGCTTGGCTCCTGTCTCTGTCACAGGCCAGTGTGCAAATCACAGTAAACCACCCACACTTGACTACAGAGAGAATCTGGCCACTATCCAAAACCAGAAGTGATACAGCCATGACAGTGAAAAACCTAGTCTGACCTAACAAGTACCTGAGCTAAATAGTAAGTATGACACTGCTGTCCACCTCTGCCTTATGCAGACTCCCAATCAAGCTGGGGCTGACTTCTAAATTGTGCTCTGTTGTACAATTTAGATGCTCACAAAGTGTCTTTCTGGGTGTTTGTTCACCTCCTGTGAAACACCAAGAAGTTTTCCCCACCTTGCCATGGAAATTTAATGACAAATATTTTAAGCTTTGTGAGGGATTTAAATACTGTGGTGGCTGGGTTCATAGAATCATAGAATGGTTTGGGTGGGAAGGGACCTTTCATGGCCATCTAGTCCAACACCCTGCAGTGAGCAGGGACATCTCTAACCAGATCAGGTTGCTCAGAGCCCCATCCAACCTGGCCTTGAATGTTTCCAGGGAGAGGGAAACCTCTCTGGGCAACCTGGGCCAGGGTTTCACCACCCTCAGTGTAAAAAATTTCTTCCTTCTATCTGGTCTGAATCTCCCCTCTTCTATTTTAAATCCATTTCCTCTTGTCCTATTGCTACAGATCCTACTAAAATGTTTGTCCCCATCTTTCTAATAGGCTCCCTTCAGGTACTGGAAGGCCGCTATAAGGTCTCCCCAGAGTCTTCCCCAGGCTGAAAAACCCCAACTCTCTCAGTCTTTCCCCATAGGAGAGGTGTTCCAGCCCTCTGATAATTTTTGTTTCCTCCTCTGGACGTGCTCCAACAGGTCCATGTCTTTCCTGTGCTCTCATTTTAAAGCAGAACATTTTTTTCTGATAATCATGATAATTATCTTTCCAACATATTATCTTCCAAAGGCAGAGCTCCAGGCTCTAGTTTGCTGCATTGCTGGCTAACTGCTAAAGTAATGGCATCTGCTTTTCTTTCTTCAAGGCTTTGGAGCTTAGAGAGATGGTCTCTTGTTTCAAAATTGCTCTCTTTGTGCTTAGTCATTACCTCTGCAGAGCCTGGCTGTCCGGCCTCCCAGACCTCTGTAACAGATGCTATTGTGCAATGCGAGGGACTGCGATTGAAGTTTCCAGAACAGATTTTAATTAGAAACATAACTTCATACAGTAGCTTGGAATGAGTACGGGGTGGGGGGGGGGAATCAAAACAAGAGATGAAAAGGAAAATGCCAAAAAGAGAGTAAAATAAAAGGCCATTTTACTGGCATTTTATACTGAAAAGCACTTGACAGGAAATACTGAGCATATCTGTGAAAAACTGAAGCATATAGCAAGCAGTAATGAGTGTCTGAGACCCTCAAAAAGCCAGATCCTCAGCTGGTGTAAATCAGCATTGCTTCATTTTACCAGAGCTGCCATTTCTGGTTGACTTCAGCAGTGCCATGCTCATTTACACCAGCTGAGGACCCCAGCCAATTTGGCACAAGTGAAATAACTTTGAACACTTGGTGTGGTTTTGTTTTTGTTTGTTTTTTTTTCTTCTTCTTCCTTTTAAAAAAAAAAAAATTAATTGTAATCAATCTTTTGTTTTTTAGATTGTCCTCCACTCGGTCTAGAGACATTAAAAATTACTGACTTCCAGCTCCATGCCTCTACAGCAAAGCGGTATGGCCTTGGGGCCCACAGAGGAAGGCTTAATATTCAGGTAACATCAATTTTTTCTCCTAAGTGGGAGAATGGCTGAAGGTTGCACTGTTGTGTAAAGAGAATCAATGGATGGTTATTGCTTCTGACTACTCTGTCGGCTCATGTAATTCAAACGAAGGAGGAACATTGGAATTGGAGAAGTGAATAGGTTGATGGATAACCTTTAGATCTGTAGGGTTTATTTGCTGGGTTAGAAAACACTCCAAGTTTAATGTGCTGAGGGTGCAAATCCAAATAGACCTCCATGAACAAGCAAAGGTGGAGACAGCCAAGAACTCCCTTCCCAGCTGGAAGAAATCATCCCAGCATCCTTAACAATCAGCCTGGAAGGAAGCTCATACAGCAAGTTGGGTTTTTTGTTGTTTGCCTGCAGTTAATGACAATGGTTAATTGAAAGTGGTTGCAAGTGAAGCACTTGCCCTAAGGCAGCTTTTCAGAGGCAATCATTATGCTACCAAAAAAATGCTTAAATTCAGAAATTACTAGCACACAATCTGGTTTATTTTATTTTATTTAATATTACAGATGGGTTTAGGTGTTTTGCAGGACCAAATTCTATTTTCCCATTTCTTGTGTTTCTCTTCTCTGCTTTATTAGTGCTGTTTTCTGAATTACAGTCTTTTCCAGTGTAAAAGTGTTACTTTTGCATAATAAAGTACAACATTTATAACTCAAAGTCAAGAACAGGATGCTAGCAACAAGCCAACAATGAAAAATCTCTAAAGTTTAATTCATTTATTAGTTTCCTTTCATTACTAGACCCTCCATTATCTATATATATTTTTTTTCTTTAATTTTATTTTTTTTTCCCCCTCCAGCTGAAGGGCTTTGCTAGTTAATGAACTAATACTGGGACTAGGAAGGATGAGGTCTAATCAGCAGTGCCATTTCACCTGATGCCCACTGAAGCATAATAGTGGGCAGCTGCTGGAAGGAGGGGTCACTCTAGGTTAAAATCTCACCATGCAACTTTTTACCCCTTTGCTTCAGCTTTTGATGCCTCTGCAGAAACAGCTCTGTGGGCTTCTCTATGAGAGGGGGTGAAAATCCTACTTTTTTTAAAAAAATATTGTTTAAATTTATTTTTTGTCTAAATGCGCAGCAAACCACTTTATTGAGCAGCCACAGGAGCTAGCTGGAGGTGAGTGTCAGGAGCCTGCAGGTAGCTTGGAGGTGGGAATGGGCTCTGTCTTTCTAAGTCAGTGTGCAGAGATGGTAGGTTGGGTGCGATGTGAGGTCTTGCCTGCAGCCTTCATATTTAATTCATTTTGAGATCTGAGTGAGGTAGTTTTCTTCTTTATTTCATATTCTATGCTAGGAAAAAAAAAATCCATGAACAGAAAAGTGTCATGCAGGTGATATTCAGGTGCGTTTTATAGGAATGTTTAGGGTTTTTTTTTTATGGTTTTATTTACATAATGGCATAAGACCAAGAACTCTGAAGCAAATCTCTGAATTCAGTGTTGGTTGTGGTTCCTCGTTTTTTTGTGCTGGTGTTAAAGTCTCACATATTTAAGCACAAGAATGACCATAGTGGTTCAGACCAGGAGTTAGTCTTGTCTGATGTCCCTTCAAGACCGGCATTGCTCCTTTAAAATAGAGATGTAAGAGTCTTGCCTATGGTTGATGTTTCCCCTAAATATAATCCAGAGATTACCAGCAGAAAGGGGACAGTCTCTTGTTCAGAAGCAAGAAGTGAGGTGTCGCTCAGTTCTTCCTTCCCAAAAGCTCCTGGGGTTTGGATCAGACTGAGTGTGTTTCTTTTGGTGTCCTTTCTCCTAGGATCTCAGAGCCCACACTTCTCCCATCCCACTTTCACCTCCTGGGCAGAAGCCATGTTATAGTAACTGTAAAGCTTCTTGCTGGTTCTGTGGCAGCGGTTTCTTTCACATTTATTGTGGGAATAAGCTCTCCACCTCTGTGATGTGGAAGCTGTTGTGCCCTCCATGGAGTGAAGAGGGTGAAGAGACCTTTTGCCCTGTGCAAATTGGGTTTTTAATCATCTTCATACCAAAGCTGGTGCCTTTCTTTGCTGTGAACAAAGGCATCACGATGTCATGCTTCTGCTTGATACAGATTTCTGCGTTGTCATTTTTTTTGAGCTGTATGAATTCTACAGGGAATGATTCTCATTATTATTTATCCATAAACTGTTTTTGCCCTTTTCTGGTACAGGGACTTACCTAATCCTAGGACTGTGGGAGGCTCATATATGAATAACCCAACAACACCTAGCTTACAGCAAAGTGACTTCTCTGACCTACTTTTCTTTGTTTAAATGTAGCCTTCTTTCTCTGTTCCATCTTTATCTTCAGTAAAGATTTCTAGTAATCCTCAAATCAAAAGCTTTCACTGTAAGCTTCTCTGTACACTATAGATACAGTAATTCCCCAAACCTCTTGACCATTTAGAGTTACAACTGTGACTGGCAATGTTAAAAGTATGGGTTTACATTTCTTTTTCTTTAGATACTCCTTCCCTCAGGATTAGATTAAAATTAATAGCACTTTAAAATTTTTCAAAGCCACTTGGAATTTGCAGAACTCTTCCCTGTCTGTTGAATTTCTGTGCTTAATTTTACTTTGTATTAATATTTCTGAATTTTAGTAGTATTTAAAAGATATATGCTCCTAAACAAGAATAGGTACTACAGTGGACTGATGTGTCAGATGCATAATGAGGTCCCTGGTGATTTCTGTTTGCTGCTCGAAAGGGTGGGCTGCAGCATGCTGGGGAAAGGCAAGAAGTACTGATACTTAAGCAGCTGTGTTTTCATGCTGTTTTGAACTTCACACGAAGAAAAATACTTGTCCCAAGTCAAAGAGCCTCTGAGAGGCCACTGTGCTGCTCAAGTTTCACCAGAGCACTGTGCTAAATGTAGGGTGGTGGAAAATTTTATGGGCTGCTGCTCTTGTGGCTTGGTCCTGGTATCACCACAGTCCCATCAAAATATTCATGTGACTATTGTGTTCCTCCCTGAAATAAGACAAATCAGCTCTCTGCTCAATCTCATCATGGAATCATAGAATTTTTTTGACTGGAAAAAGACCTTTAAATCATCAAGTCCAACCATAAACCTAACACTGCTGAGTTCACCACTAAACCATGTCTCTGAGCATCGTATCTACGTGTCTTTTAAATAACTCCAGGGATGGGGACTCCACCACTTCCCTGGGCAGCCTGTTCCAGTGTTTGACAACCCTTTTGGTGAAGAGCTTTTTTCCTAATATACAACCTAAACCTCCCCTGGCACAACCTGAGGCCATTTCCTCTTGTTCTATCACTTGTTATGTGGGAGAAGAGACTGACCCCTGCCTTGTTACACCCTCCTTTCAGGGAGTTGGAGAGAGCCAGAAGGTTTCCCCTCAGGCTCCTTTTCTCCAGACTCAACAAGCCCAGTTCCCTCAGCTGGGAACTCATCACACTTGTGCTCCAGACCCTTCCCCAGCTCTGTTGCCCTTCTCTGGACATGCCCCAGCACCTCCATGTCCTTGTACTAAGGGGCATCATCTGATGCAAAGTCAGCTGAGAAACCTAAAGCTCACCCCAGGTAACTGGTACTACTCCTGATCACAGGGAATTCATAGAATAATGAAGCTTTTCAAGGAGTTCTGAGGATTGCTTTTTATCTTTGATGCATACAAAATTAATCAGTTAGTGTATTTCTTATTCCAAAGAAAGCCAGGCTTAGCAGGACTGGTTAACACCTTCTAGGATTTTCTTCTCTTATAACCTTGCACTGTGTGGGATCCCAGTTCTGTATGAATGTGCTGATGAAGCTGGGACCTATTGAGGGCAGGAGCTACTTGGGTTGTAGAGCATCATGTATTGGAGATCCAGCCTGCAACTGCAGTAGTGGCACAACCAGTAGTCATTTAATATCATCAGAAAAAAATCATAGCATAAAATAATATTCAGTGAGGCACTCTGCCTTCAGGGACAAAAGTCATTAGTATTTGTCACTAAAACAATAATTAGCAGTGATTAAAACCTGAAATAATTAGACAAATTTGGTTTCTTCTCTTTCCTCATTTTCCTAGTTGGAGAAATCCAAATAACACTGAAGGTTAACCAGGTAATGCAATCATATATATGTAAATAAGCAGGATGTATTGATTTTTGTCTTTTCAGTTCTTTGTTTCACTAGTTCCTTTGGCAAAAATCCATTGTCAAAAGAAAAAATTATTGAAATTCTTCTTTCAGTCTATGTGCTTTAATTCTTCCCTTTCCTACTGGCTGGCAGTGGTTGCTATAAATACCTGTGATGATTAATGCACTTCTTTTTTTCCCCTCACAAACTTCTTATGGTAAAATAATGTTTGTGATCACCCTGCTGGGTAAGGAGAGAAGAATTGAAGCAGAAGTGGTTTGATATTAGGTATATTTTTACTGCTGCTCCAGCTGAATTGTGGCAGAATAAAAATTTTCTTCATTTGAATACATTTAGGCAGCAATATCTTTCTCTTCATTATAAAATGAGCCTTTTGGAACAGTGATAATGTGAACAAGTGTTTATTCTGTCTTGCACATGTCTAACTCAGAGAAAAAAGAATTAAAATCAAAAGTCATATAATTTGTAAAGGAATTGTAACCTTTTGATTTCCCCTCATCTTAGCTTCTAGGTACATAATAAGCAGTTGATTTGTTTTATTTAAATTACAGTTTTTGACATTCACATTTATAGAGAACTTATTCAGGAGTGACAGAAAAAAGACTCTTCTTATGTCAAAAAGGAATTTTTTTCATAAGATATTGCATATTGAGAAATGTTTTTGCATTTGCCTGCAAGTGAAATGCAACCTGGGTTAGACTTTGAGGTATTCTTGAAAATTCAGTGAAGGAAAAAAGGGTTTGCTGAAGACTTAGTCTTCCAGTTTTTATTTTCTCATTCCCTCTTCTGCTTATGAAGATAATGTAAGTGCTTAAAATATATAACTTTGTTATGCATGTCATAACTTGAATCCATTAATTCAATATACAATTTTAAAATTCAAGTAACCATCTTGCTGAGAAAAGGTATCTTGATCTTGAAGAATATAGATTCTTTGATTGAATATTTGATGACAATTGTTAATCTTGCTGAGAAAAGGTATCTTGATCCATATTCTTTGATTGAATATTTGATGACAATTGTTCTCATCTTTCAGGAATGACAATTTTTCCAAAGAAATTTAATAGCAATTTTAACTAGGAAATATTTGATTGAGTTTATAAAGTTTCTTTACAGAAAAAATATTTTGAAGTGGCCATAGGGCAAATTCAAAACTTCAGACACCTTAAGAATAAAAAATACAGACTTGAAACTTGAAAATGGAACTTTTAACATCAATCTGTTGGGATTCTTTTCCTTCAGAAGTATTTCTAATAAAAACTTCTCATTGACTAAACTCCTCTTTTTCAAGTAGCACTCTGTGCTAATTGTGCACACACCTACTTCTTTTTACCTAGTAAAACTATTCTTTAACTTCAGAGAAGCTGATGTCAGGAAATAAGAGAGCAGGAAGAAGCAGCAGCATAATTTCTTTCTTTTTTCCTTTTTTTTTGTGTTCTCTTTACCCCTATTTAAGTCTGTAGTATTTTAAGTTGTGCATAGCTGTAAGCATGCCCTTTAGACTCCCCATATTTCATATACAACTTAAATCTATGCTGAGCTTTATTTAAGTCCACTTGAAATCATGGAGTCTTGAGTATGGAATTTTTTGTTCATTTGGGATTTTTTTTGCCAATAAACTCTTTTTTCTCTCCTCTGCTTCCCTGCTCTCACTGTAATGTAGAGGAGAGGTTTACAACCTGATGAGCATCACACCAATGGGAAATATCCTCAGTCTGAATGAGGACCAAGGATCCCAGCTGAAGCACTAAGAAATACAGGAGTTAGGTCCACACAAACTGGTGGAATTTCATCAGTGTGAAAGTGATTAGCACAATGTTGGTTCAAGGTGCTCTGCAGATCTTAATGCTTCCTGGCAAGCATTGGTTTTAAACCCTAAGGCTACTTCAAATTCCATTTTATTTTAAAATGCATTGAAACCTTGTCTTGAAAAAGGTTATAACTCAGGTCAGTGACCTTATTTATATTCTCGTGTTTTCCCCTTGTTCAGTTCTCCTTGAAGAATTTATCTTCCATTGTTAATAGAATTTTTCTCTGTATCTTATACCTCGAGTTGTGCATGAACCTCACTTTAAAATATCAGAGCTAATACATAAAAGTAGGTGGCTTAATGTAAATTTGGTAGATGGAGGAAAAAAGTAATTTTTAAGCTGCCCTATCTCAGATTTGAGTACCTGAGAAAACGAGAAGTTTTAGGAATTAAATCTGTGTCTATGTTTTGCAGCATTTCCTTCAACTGCCACCAGACTGGCATTGGGAAAAGGGATTAACCACATCCTTTCCTTGTGTTTTAAACCCACCCAATCCCCATTTTGGTAGAAATGGTCTGTGAAAATGGAGGTAGACAGACCTGTCAGTCTCTGTCATTGTAACCCAGCTATGATTGGAATATCTCACACTGTTCAGTGAAGAGCTGAGGGATAATTCAGGCAATTTAATTTATGGTTGTGTTCTTGGGCTGTATACTAGAGCTTTAAGATCTGTATTTAATATAAACTTGCAGTTTTCTCGACTCTCAATTTATATTTGGTAAATAATTAAGGATATCCGTTCTTGGAATTAGATGTGATGGCAATGGTAAATCCATGTTAAACACAGATGAAATATCATAAAAATACATATAGCCTCAGAGAACCATATGGAAAATCTGTGCAATCTCCCTCCGACAGTAGTCAGCTTGGTGCCAAACAGTTCCTGGGAGCTAGTAAGAAGATAAATATCTGAAGACCTCAGATGCTTTATTAGGGTTTTTCAATGCTATTTCAGATGTATTTAGAATCCAACTCGATCAAAACACCCTGCAGCTATTTCTTTGAAAATGTTGAGAAGGCTGTTTGTGGTGTTCTTGCTGGTATAAATTGGAATATAGAACAGCACAACAGTTGGAGCACAGCTGGGCACTCCTGAGTTTTTAACTTTTTATATTAATTTGCTTAAGGCTTGAATATCCCTTGATGAAAAATAATAATTCTGGGATGGAAAATTGGTGGGAAACTGTATTACTCTATCCGGATACCCTACATTCTGCTGCTTCCAGGGGAAAGGAGATTACTCCAGCACTGACCATTACTGACATGGGTTGGAGCTGGCTTTTTAGGACTTTCAGAACTCTGAAGACTATGTAGATAATTTGTTCTGAATAAAGGCTCTATCAGACCACAGGCACTGACAGATGGACTGAACTGAAGCTCTGTTTATGTTCTCTAACTCTAACATAAAGTTATATGTAATGTTTCTTAGTTTTTAAAGGGACTTTGCAGAATTCCCTTCCCTACTTCAAGCAAGAAAATATTTTGGTCACTTCATATAGCTGTCAAGAATGACAGTCTCAGGGGTCTTAAACTGGCACCAAATGAGTAAATGGAATGAATGATGACTTCATGTGTTCTTTCCTTTTTGCCACGAGAGACCTTCAGTTTCTTAGTTCTAATTTATGAAGACAGTTTTGCCTTCTTTTCAGGCAGGTGTTAACGAAAATGATTTTTATGATGGTGCTTGGTGTGCAGGAAGAAATGATCCATATCAGTGGATTGAAGTAGATGCTCGAAGGCTAACAAAATTCACTGGAGTCATCACGCAAGGAAGAAACTCTCTCTGGTCGTAAGTACATGCTTGCTTTTCTCCATGAGATTCTGAGCTTTTAGACCAAGGAATTCAAGTTGTGTTATCTTTTGGGCTATCAAGGAAAAAAAAAGAAAGAATGGAAGTGCTGTGTGACAAGTAATTGAATGGAGGAATAGTAAAAACCAAATTGTCTATATATGGCACAAAATACAAGTTTAAAAGTAGCAAACTTGTGCATACTACACTTCATTACCTACATCTGGCAAAGGAAATTGCATGATTCCTTCAGATTATATACCTTTACACTCACCTTGTCAAATTTGTGTTAAACTTCCTCATTCTTTTCCAGTTTTAAACTTGATTAGTTTATCATCTGAAAAAATAACCAGTCATCTTTGATATTCTGTAATACATAGACCATCATCAAATAAATAAATATTAAAATTCCAAAGCAACATGATTTTTAAATGAACAGTTTAAACTAATTTTATACCTATTTTTTTTTGTTCTATAGAGGAATTTATAATAGAACCAAACACCACACTGTATGTGTTGACCAGCACTGCAGTGTTTGGTAGCAGACATAGAATCATAGAATAATTAAGGTTAGAAAAGACCTCTAAGATCATCAAGTCCAACCATCAACCCAACACCACCATACCCACTAAACCATGTTCTGAAGTGCCACATCTACACAGTTTGGGTTTTTTTTAACACTTCCAGGGAGGGTGACTCCACCACTCTTTCAGTAAAGTTTTTTGTAATATCCAATCTAAACCTCCCCTGGCATAACTTGAGGCTATTTCCTCTTGTCCTATCACTAGTTACTTGAGAGAAGAGACCAACACCCACCTTGTAAGAACCTCCTTTCAGGTAGTTGTAGGGAGCAAGAAGACTTCCCCTCAGCCTCCTTTTCTCCAGACTAAACAGTCCCAGTTCCCTCAGCTGCTCCTCATAAGACATGCTCCAGACCCTTCACCAGCTTCGTTGCTGCTCTCTGGACACACTCTAGCACCTCAATGTCATGTTGTGCTGTGTTTATGGATAGTAGGAAGACTTCATGCAGTTCAAGGCTCCTTGCTAAACACCTTTGAGGAAGGAGTGTTTGCCATGAATAAAGCAGCTCCCTTGTTGTGCTGGTTTAAGGAGGCAATCCAGCTACACATAGCCCAGGAACTCAACTTTAGTCTGAGAGTGCTGTCACTTCCAACACTGAAAGTATTTGTGATCCTTCTGTTTACTGCTTTTATTACAAAATGAGTTTATTGGACTGGCAGATAACTGGTTTGCACAGACTTGTATGCTTTTACTCATTTGTGACCCGCTTTTGAGTGTAGGTGCCCAGATTGCTCTGTAATACAGCCAGTGTGAACGAGGTGAGAATTGTATATGAGGAACACAGCGATCAGCTGGCATAAACAGGAACTAGAGGTGATGGCTTATATTTTTTTTCCTGATCTCTACAGTGTTTGTTCAGTCTCTTAATTTCTCATTGAGTGTCATGGCATTATGTGAGCAAATAATCCCAGTTGTGCTGCTAGACTTTTTGACCAAGTATCCAGGAGATGCAGAGCCTTAGATCCATTCTAGTCAGATTTCTCACTTAAGAAAATGAATGTGCCATATAATAAAAGTCAAATCAGAAAATACCAGTATAGCTAAGAAAAAAATAAAAATAGTCTTTTTTTTCCTTCTATAGTATAATTTGCTGGGGTTTTTTATTTTTTTTAACATTGCTGTAGGAGTAGGAGCTTTTTTGGCGGTAAGGTTTCTATATTTATTCCACATTGTTCTGTGTCAGGTAGAGAATTACTGTAGAAAAATCTTATTCTATCCTGTAGTCATAGTCCTGACATTGCTGCTGCTATCAACACCAGGGCTGCTCTGCTTCATCTTGTCATATTGCTATTTTTAGTTCAGCTCTATTGCAAGTTTACAGCAGGACTTGGCACTCTATTTATAGTTGGCATTCACAGTCATTTTTTTGTTGTTGTTGTTGGTTTTTAAATTACTAAATCTTGCTTTTGTCCTCTTTGCCCATGAAGAGTTGGTGGACAGAACCCTGAGGTTCTGCTGGAAGGACAGGTCCAGGCTCCTCCTGGATTGTTACTTATATTTATGGAGAAATGGGCACATTTCTGCCTCATAGGAGCAAAGATGGTTTCAGCTGGACCAGCTGCACTGTGAGGCAGGCTAATGTCTCCTGGAAAACATGTCATGTATGACTGGGCTCTGCCTCATGGAGTGGTCAAGGCAGTGGAGAGAAATAGTCCCCATAAGGGATGACCTCCTTCCCTACCTCCAGCTTGCACACAGGGCACTGCCATGGAGTTGGCTTTTCTTGTCAGGGTGTGATGACCACCATCTCACTTGGAGTCTCTTGATACACCTTTGGCTATGGGACTGACTACCCTGGAGTTCACCTCACTGTCTCTCTCCCCTCATCAGATTGAACAGATAAAATCAGTGTAGTTGATGTTTGTGTGCTCTGCTTCTGCACGTGTAAGTCCTTAGATTCTAAAAATAACTTGGTACTCCCTGAGGTACTAAAGTAGATGTTCATGTTTTCAAGAGTTTAGGCTGATGTATGCAGCCCTCATCTGAGCCCAGAGTGGTGTCCTGGGGTTTCCAGAGTCTCAGCACCTGGGAATATCATACCCAGGAAGATGGCAGATGCTGCTTTCTGAATTAATCAGGCCTCTGAAAGGTGATCATCTCGGCATGACTTTTTACCCCAATTCCTCCAGCAGTCAAGAAAGGAAGAGGAAAGGAAAAGACGTGAAATCTTGGTATGAAGAAGAGCTGTACAATGGGACATTGAATCTAGATAATAGTAGAGACCCTGAACTTGGAGCAGAATAGTGGGGTTGAGAGGCACTGATGGAAGCTTTGGTACTTGTGGCAAACTCAGGAGACAACGACCTGACCTTAGTCATAGGGGTTGCATGCAATGAGTTCACTTTTTTAAGTGAAGGGAGAAACAGGCTGGTAGGACTTTGATTGGTGTGGACAGGTTCTCCTGTGACTGTTTTGCTCTAACGGGCACTAGAAGCAAAGGAAACTCATTAACTTCCTTCTGTTATACTTAGCTACTGACTGTGATGGTATCAAAAAGGACTGTTTATAATATGAAAGTTTGTACAAAAAGATGTCATTCTGTTACCTGAGGCACCTTCCCTACTTTATGAAGTTATGTGACAAGAATATAGTTCTTTCATAACTAAGAGGAAAATATGCTGGAGAATAAGTTATTTCAGGTAGGAGAGCCAAAAAAACAACCCTCTGATCTGTGTTGTATTAGAAGGAAAATCCTGCCAAGCTTGAGAGCCAAGGTAAGATTTTTATTTAAGTCTTGGAAACTTTCCCAGCATTATTAAAAAAAGGAAAAAAAAATCAAGACACTAGGATATATGTTAAGTTCAACAATGCTATTATGTGATAGTGATAAAGAATCAGAAAAGTAACTTTTTTTTTTCCTTTTACCTCTTTGTATTGAAGAAGAAACTTTAACAAAGTGGAAAAATTTACTTAACTAAAAATCCTCTCTGAGCTTCTGTCTAGATCAGATTTGTACCTCTCCTGGTCCCTTTAGCTTCCTGCTGCTGACTCAATGAGGACACGTAAAATTACAGGGCAGGGTAAGCAAGGACACCACACTGAATCCAGCAGCAAATAACTTTGCCCCTCATTGCAAGGCTGCAACATCTGAGTTATTAGCAGCCTGGCCTTTGATTCTTCTTGTATTTCTGATGCTGTAGCTACAGCTAGTGGAACCCTTAACTCCTCTCTAACAGGACTGGCAACTGTAGTCTGGTTTTGCTGACAACCAAATTCACCCAAAGTCAATCTATACACATCCAGTCTTGCCTACTGGGTTTTGGGGTTTTTTTTAGCACTGATGAATTGAAGGTTACACTTGACACAATGTAAACACAAAAATGCATGAGGCTGTCACTTTCTATATGCTGGCAGGACTGTCTTCACCTTGGTTATTCTTCTCCCAGTCTCACTTGGAAAGTTGCTATTTTTTTTCTGTTGTCCCCTGTGGGCTGTGGCTCTACTTGTCCTTGTGCTTGAGACATGAGAGCCTTGAGGAGAAAGAGGCCAAGGTGTAGAAACAGCTCTTGAAAACACAGATGACTAGGGAAAAACCATTCTTAGTTAGTAATGAGTACTTGAAATTTTTAATCATTTATTTTTAAAGGAAAAATACTTCTGAGTCGAATTTTGTGCTCAAACTGCCTGGCTTTGAATTCCTTGATAGGCACATGGCAGTTACTACACTGTTTCACAGAATGATAGAATGGTTTGGGTTGGAAGGGACCTTAAGGCTCATCCAGTTCCAACCCCCCTGCCAGCAGCAGGGACACCTTCCACTAGACCAGGTTGCTCAAAGCCTCATCCAACCTGGCCTTGAACACTTCCAGGGAGGAGCAGCCACAGCTTCTCTGGGCAACCTGGGACAGTGTCTCACCACCCTCACAGTAAAGAATTTCTTCCTAATATCTCAATCTATTCTTGTCCAGTTTATAACCATTGCCTCTTATTCTATCACTACCTGCCCTTATAAAAAATTCCCTCCCCAGTTTCACTATGAATATCCAGTAGTGGGTAGATGGACATCAATGACAGATGTTTTGTCTTTGCAAAGCTGTTTTGTTTGCTTTCAAAGGCTAGAGAAAGTTGTGTGAGTGATGTGACCTTTTAGAAAGGCATGTGACATCCTACTCTGAGAGGTGGATGATGCCATAGCTGGGTTACAAGAGGGTTTATAGCTGCATATTTTGGGGAGAAATGCAGTATTTAGGCCTTTATATTGTTGCCAATACATCTTTCAGTTTTATGAACCAAGGATCTTTAAAGAGCTGTTCGAGGCTGTTGAGTGGGATACTGGAAGCATCACTGTGGAATTGTGCCATATTTTTAAAGCAATGATGTGCTAGTTTAAAATATGTACTCTCTTGACAGAGGGAAAAAATATTAATCACTGTTTGCAGTTTGGCAAGAATCTAAAAAACATAGGAAATATGTTTCCC